TGGGCTTAGATATATAGACTTAGATATATTGGCTTAGATGTATGGGCTTAGATATGTGGGCTTAGCTCTATGGGCTTAGCGATGTGGGCTTAGATATATGGGCTTAGATATATTGGCTTAAATATATGGGCTTAGCGATGTGGGCTTAGATATATGGGCTTAGAAAAGACAAATAGGGCGTACAAGTCAAATCAATTATTTCACTTCAGCGGTATATGAATTGTGGTGGAGCTGGTAAAATCATGGGGATCATTGGAAGTGGTTTGTTATAAAAGCCCCAGTGGCTAGAGGTCTCATCTTTTGTTTTGTCTAGCCTAAAGACTAGCACAAATCATATCATTGAGACTTTGGAGGGTGGCTAACATCATAAAATTGAGACTTTGGAGGATTACAAACATTGTAAAATTGAGACTTTGGACGGTGGCAATAAAGAAAATATTTAACAAATTTGATTTTTGAGTAAAAAGAAAGTATATTTTTTTCCATGTCCATTTTGTGCTTTAAAAAATAATCTTTAGCCGCAGATCTTTTTGTTTAAAACTACAAAATATAAATATATAAATACTAGAAAAAATGACCAGATATTATCGGGATAATAATGATTAGGTCCTTTGCGCAAATTTCTAAGTGCTATTGCAAAAAATTATCACAATTCATAACTTAAACATATAATGCTATTTACATTTCTAACATCATTAAGTTTTGAGAAGTATTTATCTGCTATATAATATAAGCCTACCTTACTCCCGTTCACGCTCCTAAACTACATTTTTCAACTCTAAACATGACCTTACAATACCCAGTCTAACTTAGCACTACTTATATCAATTTTGTCACTAAAGGAGTTAATTGAGGGACTATTACTACCTTAGAGAAATATTTCAGATTTACCCCTTTTCGTGCCCTTGAATTACAACTTTTTTTTCTAAAAAAAATTGTTTAAAAAAACTATCCTTAAATTTACATCAAAAGCTATATATATATGATATAAGTATATTTTATATGACAGGAATTCGATTTGTATTTATATCTTCATAAAAAATTTAAACATATTTATGCCTTAAAAAAAATTATATATTATCAGAGATTTGTAAAACAAAGAATTATTTTATCTAAAGAAGAATCTCGCAACCATTTTTCACGCCTAGAACAGACTTGAATATCTTTAAAAAAAATTTAAATTCTTCATCTCATAAAAATACACACCTCTTTACTTTTTGCAAAGTAAAATCAAAATTATATTTTCATTTTTTAAAATTAATTATTAACCCATCTCTATTTTTCAATATTACTTTTTCAAGTGTGTAAAATGATTGGGTTTTGATATGTAAAGGTATGCTTATATAAATGTAACACCATTGATTTTCTTAATTGATAAACATGTTTATGAGTAAAAATAGAATTAAAAATCTCCTTTTTCACAAATGTAATACCATAGGATTTAAATATATACTTAGACTGGGTAATTTAAGGTCATGATTAGAAGAGGAAAAAGTAGTTTAGTAGCGTGAAAGGGAGTAGGGTAGGCGTATAATATATAGCAGAAAAACACCTCTCAAAATTTAATGATGATAGAAACGTAAAAATCATTATATTTTTAAAGTTATGGATTGTGATGATTTTTTTACAATAGTAGTTTGAAATTATCGCAAAGACCTACCACTATTATATCGAAAACATCGGGTTATTTATTCTAGTATTGCCTTGGGCAAAATGAACTTACCTATTTTGTAAAAAGAGAATGTAACATCTTTTTTTCATAAATAAAATCCCATAGGAGCTAACTATAATGTCATCCACGTACACATGTAGACATCTTATTTCCTACCTCCGACATGTATTTACCCAAGAAGGTTAATTATTTATCAAATTAATTCCTTTATTTTGAGACGTATCTTGTGCTGTCTTGGGCAAATTGAACTTATACATATTTGTAAAAAAGAGAATGTGGAATCTCTTTTTTCATAAATGTAATAACATAGGAGTTAACTTTACTGTCATGCACGTGAAAATATGCACATCCTATTACCTACCTCCAATATGTATGTACCCAAGAAGGTTAATTATTAAATCAAATGCATTCCTTTATTTTAAAACGTATCTTGTGCAGATTTTAGCAAAACGAACATACACATATTTGTAAAAAGAGAAAGTGGCATACCTTTTTTCACAAATGTAATACCATAGGATTTAAATATATTGTCATCCTCGTAAAAATGTTCACATCCTATATCCTACCTCCGATATGTATATACCGAAGAGAGTTAATTACTTATCCAATTCATTCCTTTATTTTGAGACTTATCTTGTGCTGCCTGGGGGAAAGTAAAAACCCCTCCCCACCCAGATTTAAATAAATTTAGAAAATCTTTCACCGGATTGTAGTCCTTTCCATACCAATACTAACATATTTTGCACTTCATATGGTTCGTTCTTATTTGTATGAACATGGGCCCACGTTCTGGAACCAGCTCCCCTTCCATATACGTCATAGTGAAACCTCGTCCAGTTTCAAAAAGTCCCTTAAAACTCATCTGTTTAGGTCCGCCTATGACCTGTGATGCACCCTCCTTGCCCTACCTCATTTTCTGTTTCGGGTTGATCCTGAAGTGTCAAAGTGTCCTCGTTTTATAGCCATTTTCATTGTTTCTATAGAATAGTATTAGAATAGTAGTTACTATCCTAGTGTCTCATTTTTATTTTACTTAGTTCACATGTTTTAATAATTGTAAAGCGCTTAGAGCTTTATGATAAGCGCTATATAAAAATGCCTAAATAAATAAATAAATAAATAAGTGGATTAGTGAATGCTATTTGGCTATGGAAGTGCGCTGCACTGATTGGCTTAAACCTCATTTTCTTATTAGAATTATATTTAACGGTTAGAATTTATTACGTTATAATTTTAATAAAAGTACATTTTTGGAATAAAAAAAGCAAAACTTTTTAAATGTTAAAATATTCAAAGCTAAAATTTGTGTATGTTTTATTAACAATTCAAAAAGCAATCAATTGTATTTATTAAGTTTACTTTTAAAAGGGAACATAAATTATCAGTTTTGTCAAGCACGGTTATTAAATTTAAAGAAACCTAAGAGTTTTGACAAAATAGGCTATTCACGCTATGACGTCATTGGCGTGATTATTTAGAAAAAAATAATTTTAATTTAAATTCGCAATATTAACAACGCACTAAAAGAGGCACTGATGTCTGGGTTTTCCCGATAAATGTGATTGCGGTGTAATTCTTTAAGCATGATTTTTTTTCTCCATTTTTTCATAACTTTCAAACACATATAAAATGCTTAAAATAGTTCCTTAGTTGATTCTTTAAATGTATTTGTAATTTATAATAATAATATTTTTACTCTTAATAAAATAAAAGCGGATTTAAAATATTTTTTTGCACATTTAAATTTATTCGATTTCCGTAAAATAGTAGAAAATAACAATGATTGTTTTTAGGAATTCGAATGTACTTAAAAAGTTTTCCCTTTTGGCGTTATGTGAATCTAGCTCATTCTTATATAAATAAATATGTTTACACCGGATTGTTTTTTAATATTAAAAGCTCTGGCTCTGTCATTATGATCTTAGACCATATGGTTTTGGACGTGAGATAGAGACTTACGAACTATTAGACCAAATCACAGCTGGACTTACAGCTCACTTCACAGTTGAAGTCACAGCTGGACTCACAGCTTACTTCACAGCTGGACCCATGCCCATAGCTCACTTCACAGCGGGACTCAGTTAAATGCACAGCTGGACTCACAGCTCTCTTTACACCTGGACACATTGCTCGCTTCACAGCACTTCAAGAGCTTGCACTTCACAGCTGGAGTTACAGCTCTCTGTACACCTGGACACATTGCTCGTTTCACAGCACTTCAAGAGCTTGCACTTCACAGCTGGAGTTACAGCTCTCTGTACAAATGGACTCATAGCTCTCTTTACACCTGGACACATTGCTAGCTTCACAGCACTTCAAGAGCTTGCAGCTATGCCTAGCTTCTTCATGAGTAACTCCATCAAGTATGAAGGTGAAATTAAAAGTTCTTGCACTGTCTTTTCCATGAAATTGTGTGAAATTTTTGGTAATGTGCTAATTGCGTATTTTTGGAGGTTAAAATATTGTTAACTATAAAGCGGGCTCAAAGTGATCAAACATTGAGGTCAGCCATAGTGTAAGAGAGATTCAATCGTCTGGTCTTATTAACAATTATTAACTATTGAGTTTCTTTTAGCACGAACTCTTGATTTTTCAAATATTATTGAGAATTATTTATTACTATTATTATTTTATTTAGTGCTTTTTTTTTTAGCGTTTCAATAAAGTATCATTTGTATCAAATTCACAAAACGTTTGATACTATTCTTTTGAAATTTTGGGGACCAAAGTTTGGATTTGCTTGGGGCCCAAAAATCCCCAGCACGGTCCTGAATTGTAAACATTACAATTATATCTAAATCTATGGCAGTATTTGATGCCCCATTTATTTTTAACACTACAATTATACTGGTATCTAAATCTATGGCAGCATTTCGCGTTAGAAAAAAAGTTTCAAGATTAAAGGACAAAGGGAGAATTTTACCATCAGAATCGAACTAGACTTCAAAATTTAATTCTTATTAGTCACAAACACACAGTCAAAAGTTTGCCAATAGAATGAAAGAGTCAATAATGACACGGAACAATTTCCCACACTTAAAAACCTGGAGAAAGGGAAGTAACAATTTAAAAGAAAAGGCATATAAATAGATGACGTTTACTACCCCTTAGAGCGGTATGACTGTGGAAAGACTCGTCGTACTGTCCGAAGGCCGATCTTGTAAAGGTCGGCACATTTAGAAAATGAGAAGTTAACTTTTTCTGTAACAATTGGATCTATCGGATATTTCCTCAAAATACCCGGACCTGGTGTAACAAACACTTCAGCCGGTTAAGCCCTAGTTATAGAAGAACATGTCGTTTTTAAAATGAACACAAAACAATTTAGATAAAATATCTCTTTTAATATTGAGACAAAAATGTCACAGGGTTCAAATATTTCATTTGAATTTCTTAAACTATTTTTAGATGAATCAAAATATCCTTACATATATATTCCCCGTTGGATTGGTGAAGTGAAAATCTCTGGGGTAATGAGGGCTCTCTGATATAACCAAAAAACCACAAAAAAAAAAAAATCACACATTTCGGTATGAATGTAACAAAATAAATCATCATTTTTACAAAAATTGGAAGAGAAATCTTTTCAAAGCATCAAAGAAATCCTTTTGCTCCATTCTGAGAATTTTTTTATTAATTTACTTCCACAAATGTATTTTAATATTTATAGCTGTGTTCTCTGTATAAGTAGATTCACTAACTATTTTGAAGTGAAATAAATTAAGATTATGTTCCTTGAGAATTGGGCTAACTTCTGCTTTAAAAAAATATTTTGGGGTAATGGCTAAAAAAGTTTGTTGACCCTGACAAGGTCACCAGGTTTGCACAGAATTATGGGACTGTAATTTAATACAGGAAGTAGACACACTCATTTAACTACAAGAAATCCACAATGATTTCCAGCACAAAAATAAATCTTACTTTCTTCAGGATAAATTTGTGGGTAAAATTATCACTCAGTTATAACACCAGCAGGCAGATGACATGGATGTGAGGCCATTGACCCGTGACATTTTATGAACCTTAGGAATGTTGACTTAGAAAAATCAACTATCTGAGGATCATCATGTTAGCATCAAGTCATCATCATGTCTTTAGTATAAAGCCATGAGTGCCTGCAAATGTTGGATTATTTCAACAAAACAAACCTGGAATGCACACATGTGAGAGAAACATAAACTTGACAGTTATGAACTTATGACCTCATCCACATCACAAGTTTATAGTGGGAAATCTCGCTGCTTAAACACTTCATGCCTCCACTTGTTGAATGTAACTAAGATCTTCCAATACATGTTTAGAAATAAGATCTTCCAATACATGTATAGAAATAAGATCTTCCAATTATTGTATATAATTAAGATCTTCCATTTGTCATGTATAATTAAGATCTTCTATTTGTTGTGTATAAATAAGATCTTCCAATTGAATTAGGATCTTCCATTTCTTGTATATAACTAAGATCTTCCATTTGTTGCATATAACTAAGATCTTTCATTTCTTGTTTATACTGTAACTAAGAACTTCCAATTTGTTATAATGAATCAGATGTTTCCATCACAGCGTACTAATTGTTGAATGGTTTTGTCAATGTTACAACAGCAACATAAATTAATAGCACATAAACATATGAAATAAATGAGTTTCAAACAATGCAAGTATCACTGGATTTAATTTCCTCTAATAAAATATCAGAGAAATTTGAGTAAATAAATCTAAGGTCTGTGAATCACATTATGGTGTGCAAAGTCCAACTCTCCAGCAACAAATATGATATGGAAATGACAGGATAAAAAAAGGAGAATAACGTTAACAAAAGGCATAAAGTCACTTGATAAATCACTTAGGACCTAACATATCCTCAGGTCTAACCCACTGGTCAAACTGCTCTGAAGTGACCAGGCCTAGCTTTACCGCAGTATCTTTCAATGTGGCTCCCTCCTTGTGTGCCAGTTTGGCTATCTTCGCTGCCTTGTCATAGCCGATGTAGGGGTTTAAGGCGGTGACCAACATCAGTGAGTCATCACGGAGCTGGTTGATTCTGGCTACATTGGCGACTATCCCTGCGACACAGTTCCTTGAAAACGAGACACAAGAGTCTGCCAGCAGTCGAACAGACTGTAGGACATTGCTGACAATCAGTGGTTTGAAGACATTCAGCTCCAAGTGTCCCTGACTTGCCCCTATGGAGACGGCCGTTTGGTTGCCCATGACCTGAGCGGCAACCATTGTTATTGCTTCACACTGTGTGGGGTTAACTTTACCTACAGGAAACAAACAAAATTTAACCTATAGTAATTTTACAACAAATTTAACCCACACTCAAATAAAAACAAATGTAACCTATAGGCAACTAAGAACAAATTTAACCAAAGAACTGTCGCGGCTGATTTGATCGGGCGAGAAAAATTGCGCTGAAAGAAGAACTTCTAGTCCATTATTATACTCTAAATTAAACTACTTCCTTTTATTAATAAATGAACTTCCGTTTTTCACCCATCTGTGTCCTTTTTTTTAAAACTTTGGATTTATTTTTACAACGATCTTTATCCAGCAAATTTGTGTAAGTAGAGTTCGCGAAATGGATGAGGTCATGGCTGGACTATCTGGCTTACAAAACAAATCAATTTGGAATCTTTTTGATAACTTTTTAGTTAATGACTTAAGTGATTCGGAAGATGATTTTCCGATTACACACGAAGACAATGATAATTACGATTATTTTTCTATAGGGTCAGAAAGCGAAAGTTAGAACTCTCACGATTTAGACCTAGGCCTAGAACTAGAACAAGAAGGCTTGCACCTACAACAGAACTCATTCAAAACTATGTTGCAGATGATTGTATACCAAAAAAAAATAATTGGAATTTGTTCCATATATGTTTTCTTATATTTCTTTTTATGGATTAAATATTTATATGGCAGTTTATTAATTTTATCTGCTTTTTGCTATTTAGCAATGTTTATATTGTTTATGACGTGCTTTGTTACTTGAAGGTAATTATAGGTATCAGAAGAAATTTAAAAAATCTATTAATAGCTAAACATATACAAATAATACATTTTCTGAAAGATAAATAAAAATGCTATCATATTATATGAACATTATAATAATATGCCTTTAAAAAATTGTATTTTGAGGTACTTGAAAAAAAAAAAATTTCATTATTTTTTTTATTCTTGGCCATTCCAAGGCATGGTCACAGAGTAGAAAATATCATTAAAAAATAGCCAGTATGATTCCCCACTCAGTCTAATTTCAATAAATATATACTTTATGGAGTCTAACTATAGTATATGCATGTAAAAAATCATATTTTTTCAAAGGCACCAAAAAGCTCTAAAATGCCCGCACATAACATGGACAGTTCGTGGGTTAACCTGTAGCCAGTTAAAAACAAATTTAAACTATAGTTTAAAACTTCTGAGTTTGTAAGCCTTACCTGGCATAATACTGCTTCCAGGTTCATTCTCTGGCAAAGTCAGCTCTCCTAGACCGCAGCGAGGTCCAGATCCCAGCAGCCTGATGTCGTTGCCGATCTTCATCAAGCTGCAGGCAAACACATTCAATGCTCCATGTAGCTCCACCAATGCATCGTGGGCGGCCAGGGCCTCAAATTTATTGGATGCTGTCACAAAAGGGAGCCCTGGGGAATGTCTTGAACATTTTAATGACCTTTAGTATATCTCAAACAGTCCTGAACAGTAGAAGCTTGATTAGATTATCTGGAGTAATAATTGTGACCAGGTGTAATTCGCTGAAACAATGACCTAATAAATGTAACAAAATAAAGAAGTTCTTGTATAAACTATAACAATAATTTTGATTAGATGATTTTATATCTAAACATGAATCCCACTGTATCTCTGTCAGGAACTAACTCTGTCTGTCAGCAACTAACTCTGTATGTCAGGAACTAACTCTGTATGTCAGGAACTAACTCTGTCTGTCAGGAACTAACTCTGTCTGTCAGCAACTAACTCTATCTGTCAGGAACTAACTCTGTATGTCAGGAACTAACTCTGTATGTCAGGAACTAACTATGTATGTCAGGAACTAACTCTGTATGTCAAGAACTAACTCTGTCTGTCAGGAACTAACTCTGTCGGTCAGGAACTAACTCTGTCTGTCAGGAACTAACTCTGTCGGTCACCAACTAACTCTATGAGAACAAAAATTGTGACCACACTTTCATATTCAGAATATGCAGTTAAATCCACTTTAAAATTTTGTCAGTACATGAAAGGAATTAACTTTTACTTTGACCTGGCTAAGAATCATGGTTTCCTCCATTGTAGATGTACAATGTACACAAATGTGTCACTAATTACTAGTCCAAATAATGTCTCTTAATTGTGAGGGTTTTTTTTACCATCTGGCTAAGAATAACATCAAAATCTAAGAGCAACAATGCCATGAATTAAACAAAACAATAAAACACATCATATAGACTAAATATAAAACTTAAAATAATATTTATTTAAACTATTATAAAACTATTTTATATTGTTTAAACTTCTTCATAAGTAAATTAGTTTTTTTTTAAGGCTTATGGGATATACCAGCACTTAATGTACTGCCACCTGGGTGTGTCTAGCCAAAGAAGCGGTTTGTCAAGTCTGGCTTTTTCAATTTGAAAATAAAAAATAATTGCAAGAATTAAAGGGGAAGCTCATTTGATTTCTCAGACAACAAACACTTTTGTATCTCAGACATCAAACACAGCTCAGATAACAAACACAGGAGTATCTCAGATAACAAACACAGCTCAGATAACAAACACAGGAGTATGTCAGATAACAAAACACAGTAGTATATTGGATAACAAACACAGCTCAGATAACAAACACAGAAGTATGTCAGATAACAAACACAGGAGTATCTCAGATAACAAACACAGGAGTATCTCAGATAACAAACACAGCTGTGTCTCAGATAAAAACACAGCTCAGATAACAAACACAGGAGTATCTTGGATAACAAACACAGCTCAGATAACAAACACAGGAGTATCTCAGATAACAAACACAGCTGTATCTCAGATAACAAACACAGCTGTATCTCAGATAACAAAGACCTGTGTGTTGTTGGTCTACTTACCGGTGTAATCAGCTATACTGGCAGCTACTTTTTCAGCAAATCCTATCCTAGCATTGAGCCCTGTCCCCACAGCAGTTCCCCCTGAAAATATTGAAATGACTCAAATTCTGTGCTCAGTGTTCAAAAGATTGAAAAACTCTGTTGTATTGTCAGGAGAAATCATTTTCCTTAGCATAAAATTTGCATTATTGAAACAAAGCATTCAGTGGTTTTTTCAACAGCTCATATGTAAGTTTATGGTAGTGTTTAAAAGTGAGGTTGACAAAAATTGATCAATTACTTATATTACAATGAAAAACTGTGATTAATAATGTACAGATTTTCAATGATATTCTACTATAGAATATACACAACATCCCTTTTTACCCATCGCTAGCTCCAGCAGCCTCGGGAATGTAGCAAGAACTCTTTCTTTACCATATTTGACCTGTTGTGAATACGCACTAAATTCCTGGCCAAGAGTCAGTGGTGTTGCATCCTGGAGTTTTGAAAGTTTGAAACAAAATTTTCAACATAATAAATAACTTTTCATGTTGACAAAACATTTTTCAAACAATTGGTATTTCATAAATCCTAGCTGTACTATTTTTTCTCTAACATTACCTGATTTGGAAATGCCCCGCATCCATGTTAGTATGGATGGTCTGGTCAAATTTTACCGTTTGTGAAATCAATCTTCCTTATTTTTACCTGTAAATGTGTGCGACCAATCTTGATAATGTCTTTAAATTCTTCAACCTTAGCCTCTAAGGAAGAGAACAACAAATCCATCGCAGGAAGTAACCTTGCATTTACTTCTTGAGCGACTGCAATGTACATGGCTGTGGGGAATGCATCGTTGGAACTCTGGAGATAACGTTGATAAAAAAAATCAAATTGAATTCAACTTTTATATGCAAATAAATACATATATACATATATACAAGTGTCAATTTCTCTGGGCTCTTCATTGGTATATCTTTTAACAAAACATCTGCAATTATAGCCCTTATTATAACTTAATTGTCATAGCATTCAGCACAACACTTCAAATAATGAACTCCAATGAAGTCTATGCCAAAAATGAAGATGTTTGGTACAAAAATAATTACTTCTGCATGCAGCGGTGTATAAAAAACGCCACATTGTTCAATTACTTATTCGGTAACTAAGACAGACATACCGGTGTACTGTTTGACACATCTCGCAGTGAATTACCTGGCCCATGTTGACATGGTCATTAGGATGCACTGGTGTCTTGGAACCCAACTGCCCTCCCATCATTTCAATACCCCTGTTGCTGATGACCTCATTGACGTTCATATTGGTCTGCGTACCTGACCCAGTCTGCCAGATTGCCAAGGGAAAACTGTCATCCAGCTTACCTGAGATCACCTGGAACACATTCATTTATCATTTATTTATAATGAATGCAAAAGTTCAAGTTCAACAGTTTTATTTTAACATAGATCAAAATAATATTTGAGATACCAGTATTTGCATAGTAGCAGGTTTTATTCCCAATTGTAGATGTAAAAAAAACAAGCAGAACTGAGAAAGTGATAAACAGATTTATAAAGAAATCTTTGGAAAAGGCAGGTTCCAGAAAATAACTGTTCAGGCACTATTGACCCATGAACATTAACCTCTGAACTGTTCTATAAGTAATTTTTCCAAACTTAAGACTCATTTCATATTAGACACAAATTAATATGCAAAACTTTTTTAAATGAAATAAAATCTTGCATGAAATTAAAAATAAAAAAAAGTATTTACAGTCCTAAAGTATTTCTGAAAAAAAAAATAATAATATGATTTCATTCATAAAAGCAAAGGTTATGATAATAACCAGATGTCAATGATGCAATAGATAATTCATGGGCAATTTAAAATTAGATACCTCATCAGAAGCCTTCACAATAAGTTCTGCTATAGTCTTATCAAGGCCATAATTTAGGTTCACTTGTGCTGCACAACGCTTGAGTATACCAAAGGCACGGATGATAGCAATCTAGGATTTTGCAAATAGCAAGCATTAAATGTACATTGACACAACAACAAATTACAGTAAGTACATTTATTTATTGTATGTTTTTTACCTTCAAATATTCAAATCACATAAATTGTAAACAGGGCTGAGAATAAAATGATGTCCTACAGTACTTACAGGCATTTTTTCTGATGGTCCACCTATGTCAAAATTAATGAGGGATCTTGCTGTATTAGCTCCATAATACTTGTCTGCAGGAACACTTATGTCACCAAAAGTATCAGTTTCTATCCTTACTTCCCCCTGCAGTAAAATGGATTAAATGAAGCTTATTTAAACACAGAATTGAGTGTCAAAAACATTTCAATCTAGGATTACATCCCGTTAAATAACTTAATACAAAAATCATGCAATAAAAAATTTACCTTTAAGGTTGGGGGAGAAAAATCCACTAGTAATTAACTAATAATTATATTATATGGATTGTGGTGGGTGATGGTGAAGAAGAAATCAGGGAGTGGGTCCAAGCCCCCTCCCCAGAAATTTTTGATAAATTCATAATGCAGGGATGCATTTTGGCACATACCTGAATTTAGTTTTTCAGCAACCTACACTTAACTGCTAGTGGATATATAAACAATCTATCATTATTTGGGCTAAAACACCTAGCTAGGATTTAGAGATTTTTTTCATGACCCAGTAGTTTTTCTTTCGTAGAACAGTACTGGGTTGCAACCCGGGATATGAGGAATGCTCACCTTCTGGGTCCCACCATTTTTATGATAATTATCTAAATTTAAATAACTATGCCTTTTTTTCAACTCAATGAATAGTGACAATAGCCAGTTTAGTTTAGTGCATAAAAGCCCAACCTTGTTAGAGTCACAATACCATTTAATCAAATTCAAAGTGTTACTTTAACTGACCCACCTGCAACCCAACACATTTTAAACAAAATCATATCATGACATATATTATATATGTAACGAGTTAATGGGTGGGGTGAGTTGAGCCAAATGAATATTTGTGGCTTCCTAGGGCTCAATCTGTTAGAGTGGCGATGCACATGTGAAATATACCATCCACCCACACTTCCATGCCGTTGTCAACTGATTACAATTTAATCTATCGGCGATCTAAATTACTTTAATTACTAATAAATGTCTTGTCTGTAATTGCATTTTGCAAAACCGGTATTTAAAATGATGTAGCGATAGGTACATTTATTAGATCGATATTAGAGTTGAAGGGTTTGTCTGAAAAAAAATATTAAGGCTAAGACTGTAAGTAAAGTAAGGCAAACTGAGGGTTTTTGCTTATGTTATTTTTCCCTGGTCTACCCATTGCAAAATATACTTAAAGTGAGTCTTCAACTGTCTTGCCCTAACAATCTATCACGGACCACTAGACCTAACTTACTAGTAGTAGTAGCTAATTATTTTCTTAAAATTAAATTACATATACTTTTATATTATAAGTAGTAAGATTTAGACGATTAATTTGACTTTGACCATGACCCATGCCATAATATTAATAATAAATTTATATTAGAATTAGTATTAGATTTTAGTTTTAGACTACTAGTAGTAGTAGCTAATTATTTTCTTAAAATTAAATTACATATACTTTTATATTATAAGTAGTAAGATTTAGACGATTAATTTGACTTTGACCATGACCCATGCCATAATATTAATAATAAATTTATATTAGAATTAGTATTAGATTTTAGTTTTAGATTTAGACTTTGTCACTTTGACCTACTATCTGGCCGAACTAATTTAATTTGGACTCAATGACTTAACATATGGGCCAAAGGTGATTTAAGAAGAATCAGGAATACATTCTTTCTTGTTTTGTCAAACTCTATGCAAATTTCCTTACGTTCACACTGTCACCCATGATTCCAGTCAATGTGTACAGTGTGCTGTGTGTTTTTAAAACGCCAGGCGAAACGTTCTTCTTTCGTTTTCAAACCGGAAGTTGGAGGGGGAATCTGTATTCAGATTCGAAAATTAACTATACTAATTATTCAGTATCGTTAACTAAATTATAACTTGGTTTTAATATATAAAATCATTGTAAAATCATCGGTACATGGTATCGTGTCAAAATAATAAAAATAATTTTTCAAGTTTTTGTCAACAATAAACAGTACAGAAGTAGATACTCGGACTCGGAACTAAAGTTAGTCAGTAGTATTAATATTATTATTGAAGTTGGAGCTATATTATTATTTGAAAAAGATAGACTACCTTCCGAGAAGATTTATTGAATATTGTGACATAAAACTATAATTAAGGCTAATACGAAGGCGAAGGCAATTCAGACAATTCGCGTTTTTGTAATCAAGTATTAAAAATTAAGTAGAATTATGATTATGTCATAATGATAATGTCATGCCATTTTAACGCATTAATCATTTATGTCTACAGACAGTCTAAAGTCTACTAATTTAATTATGATTGAAATCCTAAAATAGAAGTTTGAAATAGAAGGCATGTGCCTGTAATTCACTTAGTTACTTTAAGTCCTTAGTTAACTTACTAAGACTTAGTCTTAGTCTAAGACCAATAGTAAAGACCCAGACCCAGAAAGAGTAGTAAGAACTAAGACTAAGTCTTTAGTCATAACTTATAATGTATTAATTCAACAAGGTCAATAGACACCCAAAATCTGTTGCTCTCCAAATAAGTGCAGAAAATTTAAAACTAAATTTAGGTGTGCGCCTAAATTTTCCGCGGAAGGTTACAATGAATGACCACCCCGCATTTAGTCGGAAGCCCTCGATTTCTGTTTTACACCCTCCCCCATGACGATCGATGGGGCAGTACGGGGGCGAGACAAAGTTGGGGCCAAAAGAATATTCTGAGGGGCCTCACAACCGCAGTAAATTCAGGTTATGTAATATGGTTACCGGAAATTTGATAGAAAGAAATTTCGTCGACGGTAAATTGATCGACGGTAATTTGATAGAACGGAAATTTGGTCGAATCTTTTTTTCTGTTCGCATTTTAAAATTTTCGTCAAATTCCAAAGACTGCCTTATGGACAGAAGATTTATCAATATAACCTCAAAATGAATAACTGTTATTTTTTTTGGGGCACGATTTTAAATGTCCTGGTTTCAAATTTAAACATTTAAAAAAAAAATCCCTTCAACTATAGTATATGTCTGCTATGATACTAGGCCCCTCTACACTATGACTACGTAAGCATGAATTTACCAACTCAGTTGTTAAGTTAAATTACTTAATTATTATTGTACATTACAAATTATATATGCTTTGATTGATATAAAATTAGAAAACTTTACTAATTGTCTTCTTTTATAACAAAAGGTTAAATATATATACCAGCAATGAGTCCGCCAACAAAGAAATCCAAGGTAGACTACCCAGGCCTGACCAATGAGGGCCATCCTAATACATTTAACATCAATGCCATGCCACAGCAACGCAAAGATCTTAAAGAGGGACAACTATCTGACGTTCAGATCAAACACTACTTTGAAAAGGTTATTATCGATGAAACAAATAAAGTTAAAATCACAAAAGCAATTTTAAGGCTATTTAAAAAGTTATTTAAAAAATTCCCATCAACTTGAAAAGATTTTTTGTTTACAATATTAAAATAATAATAAAATATATTAAAGTTGAATGAAATTTAGCATGGGTAATTATTATGCCGATTAATTTAATGATATTTATAGCAAATTTAATAGACATTCATTATAAATTTGTTCCTGCTATTTGGAAATAGATTTACATTATTTTCAATGATTTTCTCTAAAACAAAGTGAGCAAACATTTACTAGGTATTAAGGGTTATTCATAAAGGATGGTTTAAAATAATATGCCTATTTTTCCAACTCTACCCCCTTTTCCACACCTGTCGGCATCTGAATATGGCTTAAAGTAGTCATTTTCATTTATACAAATACAAAAAGTGGAAGAAAAATTTTCTCCCTTGCACTCACTTAGGCTTGAGGGGGGGGGGGGGGGGGCAATTATTTTTTGGTGTGGATAATCTTTATTAAATATTAATATAACAATTGCTTTTCAATTTTCAAGTTGTCATGGAAACAATGTTGTGATGCCTATATTTAACAAATATTAGTAGTTATATTTATGTTAAAATGGGGCCATGTAACTTCCCCAAATATCCACTGGTTTGACCTATCCACTGGTGTAACTTATCCACTGGTGTGATCAATCCACTGGTGTGCCCTATCCACTGGTGTGCCCTATCCACTGGTGTGCCCTATCCACTGGTGTGACCTATCCACTGGTGGACCTACACACAAGTATGTGCAGTACTTTAACCTTCTAAATTAGTCTGATAATATAAATCATTTGATGAAAGTCAACCAAACCGGAGAACTCATTTTTACAAGCCCAAACTGGCAATGTTGATAAATGGGATTCACTCATGAAGTTTTTTTAAACAATTTTTCACAATTTCACAAATAGATCAGCTATAGAGAATGTCCAAGTGTAAAAATGTTAAGGACGTTGGAATACACGCAATGGGCCTAAAGCAGCATATAATAAAAAATATTATCTCGAGGACGTCCACAAGATCCTTCATACCCTGTCACTCCTTGTTCGTAGTTGTCCAGCTTTTTACACCCCCCCCCCCCCCCCCCGCGCCCCTCTAGTTGTCCTTTGTAAATCACCCTTATCAGTATTTGTTTTTTTTGGCTTCAGGATTTCATTGCAAATATAATACTTATACAGCTTAACTATCATATTAATTAAACCTTGAAATTTTTATTCCTGTACAAGCCTGTCACCTTTATCACTCCACTCTTACTCAATCCTCACTCCATATAAAGATTATCTTTTATCTTGAGAAAAGGTCCTAAGGGTTAATAATACCATTTGTATGCAAAGATTTGCTGAACACGTTCAACTATGATTCTGTTCAGCTGTGGTCAGATAAGAGATATAGATTGCCTGTAGGCCTGTGTGCCATATATAAGCCTGCTTGACCTCAAACATTGTATTTTCACCCTTCTGGTGAAAGCAGCTGAAAGTTTTGTATTGTGTTCTAATACTGTTGACTGCTAACATAAAGAATGTCAACAACTGCTCATGGTTTAGTGTCCAATGCTAGGCCGGAGCTCTTTGATGTTAGGGCAATGCTTGAACAACCGAAGGCTCTGAAACCTGGTCAGTTGGAAGAGAGCAAAATTAGAGAGTTTTTTGAAAAGGTTTGAATTATTATCTCTGCAGTGCAGAATTTAAAAGTGAACTTGTATGAGTACTTTTGTAGTTAAATTTGTGATTTTTATTAAGTACATAGTCTAATAATATTTATGTGATTTTCTGAACTGCAAAACTCAGAAATGATGATGGGTATTATTTGAACTTCCCATCGTTTTATTTATTATATTAAAAGGGATTTCTGTTGGTGCCTAAATTCTTTGAAGAAGAGGAGCTGGAGCCTTGTAGAAAATCTGTGGAGGAATTGGTGGACGGCCTAGCTCAGATGTTGTATGATGCAGGCAAAGTTAAGAGTGAGTATTTAATCAAATTGATGTATTTTTGCAAAAGTAGTGTTTTACTCTTTTTTAAGCTAGAAAGAAATCTATTGCTTTACTTGAATATCTAAAAGTTCATAAAGGTATTATTATAGTCGCTATATTTGTGAATCAATTTGTGAGTAGGATTTTTTTCTTAAGGGAACAAATAAGAACAAGGGTGGTTCAACATTTTTTATCTTAATCTGGAGCCGGTTCACTGTCTGTCAGTCACTGTTGGACTGTCTCTCAGACACTGTTGGACCGTCTCTCAGACACTGTTTGACCACCTCTCAGACACTGTTGGACTGTCTCTCAGACACTAGTGGACTATAGTTTGAAAAAAATATGCAAAAATTCTCATGCACACTGCAATGACATTATCTGTGGTGAAAAATACAGTGGTAAAATTTCAATATTTAAAATGTAAAACAATTTTAATGAAAATAAATTTATTAATATTTCAGTGGTAAGTATGGGCCTACATTTGGCTAAATTGATGGTCAATGTCCGATTTCTTATTTGTCACTGATATGGTGGCCAAGCAGGCTGGATCTGGCCTTAGTTTAAGCCAAATGTTTTAAGAATAATTATAGTAAATTATTGAGTTATATTTCCAAGTAATATTTAAAGTTAGCCTAGTATAACTTCTGATGCTTAAGTCTATCTAAACATAAGCTTTTATGAGATAGATTTTAACAATAGTTTTATGTATTGTTGTAATCACTTTCTTGTGATTTAAATTTGAATTTATTTTATAAAATTTTAAATATAATAAGGAATTTTTTTTGGGGGGCACCATAGTTGTTTGCTATGGGTGAACTAGTATCTTGTCTTCAAATAAGTGATGAATCAGATTAGATACCACTGACAATGACATGTTCAATAAAATCCTTAAGGTTTTTAAAAATAAAAAGATCTATTTGTTGACCTCTGTTACTGAATTTCAGAAACTGAAACCTCAATAGTTTTCTTAAACCTATGCAGGTCTTTACAAAGAACAAGGACTATTTAAGAGGCTTACCTACCTTGAGCAGGATTTTCCTGGAGCCAATATTCTTCTCCATAAACAAGGAAAGTTAACTGAGGTGACATTTTAGTATTTTTTAAATGCTAGTTATCTCCCTTCGTCTCTTTCTTTAATAGAGTACTAAAAGAAATAGGCTTATACCTAAAGTTCTTTTACAATATTGATCTATTTGAAAAATAACGTTTTTGTTTCAATGGCGTCAGTGCGGGATTGCATGGAAAATAGTTCTTTCATAATGAGGTACAACTATGTACAGGATATTGTTGTGGTGATCTGACTTATGACTTATTAGAGAGGAGGGTCTCTAGTATGAGATCTCCTCTTGGCACTCTGTCTAGGGATATGTTATTTAAGCCGAATAACCACACGGACATAACACCTATCTATATACATATAGTATAGACTGAAGCGAA